AACTGATTTAAATTCATATCACAGATTAAAGAATAACACAATAAATAGTATGCCAATTTATCGTTACCATGACAACCCTGTGATATTTCACCTTATGTAATAGAGTAATGCAGATGATACTGTCGGCTGTAAATTTTGATAAGTTGCTTCATCGCTATCAATAAACACTGGGTATCTATACAATTATATGTGTGATCAAAGGCCATATGATAGATTATGTGGTCCCTGGTGTGATGGAGGAGAACTTGCGTCGCTAGTTTTCTCGATAATCAGAACACATGTATGTAGCGTGAAACCGGCAGAAAGTGTTTGCCCTACCTGTAACAACGATGTCCCGTGTCTATAAAAGGGATATAATATAACTTTTATCTTGGCCCGTTAATGATGATACGTACTGCGATCTTTCACAATAATCTCACTGGCTATCAGATTGAAGGTATGTTTCAAACATAACCGGTATTTCTATTATTGTATTTATAAAGTTCTTCGAACGTTCTCCATATACGTCCGTCATATACATCGCGCACAACCCTTTCCTCTTTTGATCTTCTCAAACGACTGTTACAAGTTCGAAGAATCCTGGTCAAACTAGAAAAGTCTTAAGACTATTCCCTACAATTCTGTAACTCACACATTGTACCCTAAATGGGTAGAGCTTTCGTTCGGGGGAATATCAGGACAACGATACAGTTATTTCTAATGTTGTAGAAAGATCTCCACTTACTTAGGAAAACATTGAGATATTGTATTCATGTCGGAATGATATTTTCAGCCCCTGTCAGATCAGAACTTGAACATGCGATGCCCGCGTCTGTGTCAGACTAAAGGCCTATAAGATGTTTAGCAACACTGGGGCGTAATAACCATAGATCTTCTCCAAACAAGGGAATATACATCTTGTGAGAATGACTTCTTCGACAGGGAAATTTACAGCAATGCGACATCACAATTACTTACGTGATATTTACTCGCAATCTGAGTTATGGATCGTCAATTTAAACAGGACAATATAGACGAATTTCACAAAAGGCACGGAGATCCAACATGTCTATGATATACTCAGAGAACGCACCCGCTATCCGGTCATAATCGCTACTCGATAAAAACAATTTTTCATTTCATGTTTCACAGAATATATAATTTGATATGACATTGTTTCTTAGTGTATACTTTTGCGTTAGTGAAACAAACTTTAAAGTTTATGTATGGCGTTATTACAGCAAAGGCTGAGCGAATGGAGAAATAACATGGTTCAGGCACTGTGAGACTATTAAGAAGGTCACATGCAGTGCAATAATATTCCAATTATGTACTGCCACAAAATATTTTACAGTAGATGCGCGAGCTGAACAGACTTAAGAAATTACGAGTTGGTTCGCGTAGCATATTTGACTGTGCTCCAAGAGAGACAAAGTGCTATTCTTTTGGGGCAGCTGGGGACACTTGCGAGGACAAAGGGGCAACGCATCGCCCTTTGTTCACCACTGAACCTTTCAATCCCTCGAAACATGCACCTCACAAGATTTGCCAACACCACAGACAAGGCGTAACTGATACTGGTAGCAAGAGCGAGTGCAGATTAATAAGGCGTGTTAGCTTTCGTAATACCGCTTTCTTTGTCAGGCGCTTTGGTGATAAGAATATTTAGGTCATGTGAACGTTGATTTCAAACGTACTAAAATGTGTGAAAGTGAAATTACATGAGCCAAGTAATTCACATGATGGAAACATATTATCATCTTGCTTGAGTACAGGTAACATGATGGTGTATGAACCGTTCATATACATACCCCTGAAATCCGGTATGATACATAAATATCTAAGGTGTGTCAACATTTGCAAATTTGAAAATTTACATGTCTTTCCCCACCTAACTAAATTCACATGTTTCCAACCTGAGTAAACTTGCTTGAAGCTGGCCAGTTTCAATGTAGTAGCAGATGCCCCTCGTAGTGGGCGACCTCGAGCGACCACTGCGGCGCACGATCGCTACATCCGGGTACATCACCGGCGTCATCGAACAGCTACGGCGACCAGTACCGCTCGATAAATACCGGATTGAGGAGGCTTTTTGCACAGACCGTCAGGAAAAGGTTGAGAGAGGCTGGTTTACGTGCCAGAAGACCTTATTTTGGCCCTGTGCTTCGACAACAACATGTTTGACATCGAGTTCAGTGGTGCACCAACGTTCAGGCCTGGAACCTACTGAATTGGCTTAGAATCTGGTTCAGCGATGAATCACGATTTCTATTGGAACGACGCGATGGAAGAATGCGGTTGTACAGACGTCGACGTGGACGTTTCGCCGACACTTGCGTTCCCCAGGTGGACAGATTCGACTGGAGCATGGTGATGATGTGGGGAGCGATCACCTGCCGTAGGAGAAGTGATTTGGTGATGATCCAGGGCAACCTGACAGCTCAACGGTACTGTGACGAAATCCTACGCCCACACCTCCTTCCAATAATTGATCGCCAGAGGGAGTTGTTTCAACAGGACAATGCCAGGCCCCACACAGCACGTCACACTAGAGCCTTCCTCCAGAACCACAACATCAATGTGCTTCCCTGGCCCTCAAGATCACCGGACATAAACCCGATCGAACATCTGTGGGATGCCCTGGACAGACGGGTGCGACGCCGTAACCCTCAGGCCCAGACACTTCAGCAACTCGCACAGGCACTACAGGCAGAGTGGGCTGCGATCTGGCAACACGAGATTCTGACACTTATTCGTTCGATGCCGACGATTTCGTGCAGTTCTGGATGCCCACGGTGGTCACACGAGGTATTGACTTTAGCGCCACCACACGTCTCCATGTGACACTCAAAAGACTGACACGCCAAAGACGGATAAGTCTGCATTCCCAGTGTGCAATTCGCTATATTTCATTTACTCATAAAGCCTACAAGATGTTTCAAAATAAACATAAAAATACAGTTGAAATTCCTATATGCGTTTCTTTTTTGGGAGAGTATATGTGTCTAACAAGGCAACAGGTCATGCTGTAAAAAAATGTTTGTTTGTTGTTTAACGCAACACTCAGCAATTTTCCAGCGTCGGTCTGTAAACAGACAATAAATTGATCAACAATGTGAGCATCGATCTACGCAATTGGGATAAGATGACATGTGGCAAACAAGTCAGCGAGCCTGACCACCCGATCCCGTTAGTTGCCTCTTACGACAAGCATGGGTTGCTGAAGATCAATTCTAAACCGGATCTTCACGGGTATCGTCCTGTAAGAAAGTTTGCACAATTTTCAGTGCTCGTCTACATGTCCGATTGGCAATAATTCCTGGAATATTACCAATCCCAGTGGCTTTCTTAATCACTTACCTCTGAATACATATGATTTGATTCTTAGAAATGAAACTTACAGACAAAAACCAAAAAAATAACAGTGGTATTCTGGAGAGGGCCGACATGTTGTTTCCTAAAACCCGGGACTGTATTTATTTCTCCGACCCGTGGAGATCCGGGTTAGAATTGATCTTCAGTAACGACTAACGGGATCGGGTGGTCAGAATCACTGACTTGGCTGACACATCGTATCCCAATTACGTAGATCGATGCTCATGTTGTTGACCACTGGACTGTCTGGTCGAGATTCGATCATTTACAGACCGCCGCCATATATCTGGAATATTGCTGAGTGCGGCGTAAAACTAAACTCACTCACACATTTAGTTCTTCATTATTTTCGAGAGGGTCGTAAGTTTTTTTTACGGGACGATTATTAGCCACCAGTAGTTACATACAGAAAAGCTGAAAGAGAGATAAAATCTGCCAAACAATGAAAGTGGCAAGGTATTAATGAGTCAGACGTGATACCAGCAACGGGGACGTGTGAAGATAATTTCCCGAGGAAAGTGTTTTCTATGCGAAGCACTTTCCCTGAGAATTGAGCGTACTTGACATCACGCCAGCTTTTGGCTGGGTCAGTAATAATCACAGGTATTTCTAGGCCCTAGTTTTATTAAACGGGGGTGAAGTGGATGTGATTGTAGTGGAGGGTAATTTTGGGTCAGTGGTTGTGGGGATGAATGTAGGGAGGGATGTTAAGGGTTGGGTTTTAGGTGCTGGGTTGTGGGGTGGATGGTTGGGGTGGCTGTGGTGGTGGGAGGGGCGACAGTGTCTTTTGGTGGTAGTGTATGTGTGCGTGCGTGCGTGCGTGCGTGCGTGCGTGCGTGCGTGCGTGCGTGCGTGATGGTGTTGGTGGGAGGGGCGACAATGGATGGTGGGATGAATGTGGAATGTGAAGGTGGATGTGAAGGAGTGGTTTTGGGTGGTTGTGTGTGTGTGTGTGTGTGCGCGCGCGCGCGTGCGTGCGTGCGACAGTGCGTGTGTGTGCGTGTGATAGTGTTGGTGGAGCGGGACTGGATGGTGGGTGATGTGGTGTGGATGAGGTGGTAGTTGTGGTAGGGGCGACAGTGGTTCTTGGGGATGAATGAGGAATGTGAAGGGATGTGAATGGTCGATGTGAAGGTGGATGTGAAGGAGTGGTTCTGTGTGTGTGAGTGTGTGGGCGCGTGGGTGCGTGCGTCCGTGCGTGTGTTCGTGGGTTTGGAATGGGGTAGAAGTGTTGGGTATCGGGTAACCAAGCATAGGCCCAAGCCCCACTTTTGAAACTGACCCGTGAAGATCCGGGGTAGAATAGGTCTTCAGCAACCCATGTGCTTGCCATAAAAAGGCGACTATCTTGTCGTAAGAGGCGACTAACGGGATCGGGTGGTCAGGCTCGCTGACTTGGTTGACACATGTCATCGGTTCCCAATTGCGCAGATCGATGCTCATACTGTTGATCACTGGATTGTCTGGTCCAGACTCGATTATTTACAGACCGCCGCCATATAGCTGGAATATTGCTGAGTGCGGCGTAAAACCAAACTCACTCACTCACTCACTCACTCACTTTTGAAACTTATTGATCGTCTGTATCAGCACAGACTAGATGGTGAGACGAAGTGAAATTGGGTTTAACGCCGTACTTGAAAATATTTCGCTCATACACACGGACTAGAAATACAATGGAATGAGAAATACCTACCACACAAGATAGTGAAAGCGCAGAAATAATTTACCACGTGTTCCCTGTAACTCCAACTTTCCCAGAAGCTATAGCTCTCTCGGGGAATGTTTTGATACAGTATAAGTACGAGGCGTCCAAACAGAAAGTCCACAGCGGAAGACAACACAGCAGACTTCACAACACAGCAGACTTCACAACACAACATGGCTTCCTCCAAGGCGAAAACATTAGTGATTTATACAGGAGGGACATTCGGAATGAAAGACGACGGTACAGGTTTGACTTGTTATTTACCAGTTTTTATAACAAATGAACATTCATAGACACTAGTAAAAAATCTCAGAAGAATAAATCCCAATTTATATACGAATAAGGGAACACCTGAAAGCACAAGTGTTCCTTTATTCTTTTCAAGGTTTCTTCACAAGGTATGTATTGCACTGTGAGTGAAATTCTGTAAATAAATAAAGGAACACTTGTACTTTCATTTGTTCCCTTATTTGTTTCTATAAGTATATAATTCATATGTGTTACTTATGTTTTGAGTGAAGCGTATTGTTTGAATTTCATTGATTTTTTTTTGCGAGATTATGTCCATTAGCGTGACAGAATCCTGAGTGACTTTGTCAACTCCTTGCCAATGGTTCATGTTAGGATTTTAGATTAGAAGATCGCTGTTATATGAAGTTGACACACTCGCTCATTCTGTTTTGTCTACGTCATCTATGAGTTTTATGTATAGTTTAAAGTTGAAGGGGCAGGTGGTGGGGAAGTCGTGCGAATATGTTAAACGTTCTGGGAAATGGTACTACATGTAGTATTTTTTATTGGGAGGCAACACACAGTGGATGATTAATTTACAGTTAAGTATTCTTGTGAATTTAATTTTTCAGACAATTTACTCATATATTTGACGTTGGTTATAAATTAAATAAAATCAAGAAATGGTTAGTCGATGGCGATGTATTATAGTTGCGTTTTGGACCTCAAGAGGGCAGTGTTTCAACCCAGTAACGTTTTGATGAAGTGTGTAAATGTTTTGGTCACATCCAATTTTCAAATGCATACTCGCGTTTGCCCTTCAAGTTCTGTTTGTGTTTTATTGCTTAATATTTTGATATTATTTTTGAAATTGATCAAAGCTTCCCCAAATATTTTTGTTGTCTTCTTTCATTTTGTCCTTATACTCATTTTATTAATGTGAGGTTATTTGTCAATTCTTTTCTAGGTTAACAGGTAAACAATGCCATATTTGGCATCATGTATATGTAAATAGTGATATTTTCCCCTCAACAATTGGAGATTGATTGATTTAAATTATTTGATAATATATTTTTTCAATACATTTATATTTTTTTCCTTTTTTGTATTGTACAAAAGTGAATCACTCAATGCATATTTTCCCTCGTAATCTTTTCAATTATTAATTGTGTTTTAAAACACATGACGAAATGCAGGTGGTTGATGTATGCTTCCAAGAATATGTTTGTTGTCTTCTCTCATTTTGTCCTCATACCCTTTTTGTGATTCGGAAGTTATTTGTCAATTCCTTTCTCGGCTAATGGGTAAAGATGTCACATTTGGTATCATGTATGTATAAATACTGATACTTTCCCCAAAACAGTTGGAGATTAATCGTTTTAAATCATTCGATTACTTGAATGTGAGGAAAAGATACATTATGTGATTCGCTTTTGTACTTTACAATACAAAACAATATAAATAGGTTGAAAGTTATATAAATACATAATGTAAATAGATTATATACATGTGTTTACTGTGTTATGTGCATTCCATGTAAAAGTAAAGAGTGTAAATGTACACGAAAATTAAATAAACAAATATTGTTTTATAAATCAGTTATTTTTATCAACAGACAGCATTACCAGTGATGTTTTCCTAAATGCTGGGAACAAATGATTTTTGGGTCAGTTTTGGGAATAGATATTTGTAGCCCATTGAAATATTTCCTCTCTGAAAATATCATATTTAATATTCTTTGTCACAAATTATACTGAAGCAAATTTAATTTATTTGTTAGACAAAGGAAGTGTATATATGCTATGTAGCGTGACCAAAGAAAAGGAATGTTTGTCACCCCAAGCCTAGTATATGGTGTTCGTTTCGTATGCGGTTTATGGACATTGTGTTTGCGTTCGAAAGCGCTAAATCGAAACGAAAATGGTTTGTCGCCTGCAAACACAGATATATGAAAGTAAAATGAGTAACGCCAGTCTGTATTGATATCACACTAATTTTTTGCACACATGTATACCGTATGGTACTTGTGTCCTGTAACACAAAGGAAATTTCGTTGTTTTAATACGAGCAGATGCTCTCGCTATACCTATAAGTTAACATCAGTTACAATTCTGTGACAAAAAGTAAACGAAAATGGCTCTGCAAATATAGATGTATGCAAGTAAAATGAGTAACGACTGTCTACAATGATGCCACATTAATTTATTGCACAAATGTCAACCTTATGGTACAGAATGTATGAAGTACACCAAAATAGGTCTTTGAAGGGCATTTAGACTGACCGACTGACTGAGTTTTGGTTTTACCCCTCTTTTTACCAATATTCCAGCAACATCACGACGGGGGACACCAGAAATGGGCTTCACACATTGTACTCATGTGGGGATTCGAACCCGGGTCTTCGGCGTGACGAGCCAACGCTTTAACCACTAGGCTACCCCACCGCCCGAAGGGCATTTAGAAGTGATACACACAAGGAAGAGAGTTTTTATTGATATCAACTTCTTTATCAAGAAGGACACATCGTTTCGGACTATGTCCTTACGCCTTCATCAGGTGAAGTAAAATGATGAAGGAGCGAGGATATACTCATGAACGTTGTCTTCCTCATAATAAAGAAGTTGACATCCATACAACTCGCATCGTTACCACAAAAGAAATGCTGTATTTTCCATATTTTAAGTTCGTTACAATTCAGGGCAGGTCTGAAACCAGTAGACCGATTCAAAGTCAGCGACGAATTCAGCAGGATCGTGCCCCTCAGTGACATGAAAAAGCCTGAGGAGATCAAATCTCGCAAGGAAATTATGAGAAGGTTTACAACAAGGTAATAAAGGCTTCTTGTACAACCCACCATTCTCGAGGGTCTTTAATTAGTTCGTTAATACGATCTCTTTTGTCACTGACATGTTTGTTTGCTTTCGAAAAAACGTCAAAACTACGTACCTGAAAAAGTTGAACGTATATGTTTGTCTATATTTTAGCAATACCAAGGTAAGAGACAGCAATGGTAGAGAACAACTGTACCCATGTGGTGCATTAGGTGAATCTGAGGAAGCCCACGCAAAGAGTGGTGAAATATCACGAATTAACTGTATTACTTTCGATCTGTATTCTGGAAACTCTCCTCGCCTTGGCTAGTCTCAAGTCTCGAAGGTTGTCCTCGTGTATAATGATATACAATTGAACTGATTTTAATTTTATTGAACATTTTTATTTGCTTTTTATAACACATGACAAAGTGCAGGTGATATTCTTGTGTCGTATTTTTGTCATGGGGTGTTTTCAAACCAATATTTTAAGTATATTACGTTGATAAAAGCTTCAATGTACTGTAAATAGATGTAAATAATTTCAAGACTACGAGTATTTTGATAAGCTTAAACTTTCAGAAAACAAGACTGGAATGGAACCGTTGACGAGAGTCCGATCACATACGACGTTTACGAATTTAAGAGGCTTATTGACTCTTCGTTGATGAATCAAGATGACTGGAAGAGCATTGCTGAAACAATACAGGTATGTATGTATGTATGTATGTGTGTGTGTGTGTGTGTGTGTGTGTACGTACGTATGTATGTACGTATGTATGTATGTACGTATGTATGTATGTATGCACATCTGTACCTACCAAAATAAGAACACAAATAAAACAATTCTTGATGTTCCGTACCTGCGTGTATGTTTCTTTTAAGCGACGTTAAAGTAAACTAGCGTATTCATGCTGACACTGCCAATATTACAGAAATATTATGAGGATTACGACGGCTTCGTGGTTGTCATGGGAACGGACACAATGGCCTACGCAAGTTCTGCTCTGTCCTTCATGTTGGAGAACCTCAGTAAACCAGTTGTCTTCACAGGGGCGCAGGTTGGTTAATTGAACATCAACACAGACTGCAATGCTTTGCATACAAAAGATGAAATATATGGTCAATGTTCCTTCACAACAACTATTTTCCCTAGCTGCAATCATCCAGTAAGACAACCATGGCATAGTCTAATTATAACTATTTACATATTGTATTGAAATGGTCAGACATCATTAACCAATACCATGTCATATTTACAACGTATTATTGTCATTCATGAATCACAGTCCTGTGTTTCATGTTGACAAATTTCCAACGAAACAAACTTGCACCGATCAGTTCGTCGCCGAGTCATTCAGTGCAGTAGCCCTGGGCGAGCGAGAATGTTGTGTTGCACTCAAGCCTCACCGGGTAACCGTTTACAGCTGTACAGAACACCCGAGTAACTGCCATTTTGTGTACAAGTGATTATATTTCACTCGACTGGCAGCTGTCATTACCTACTCTTTTATGCTTATTCACACTATAAACTGTTGATTGTTTTCTCAATGAGACTTTTCTTTCTCTTTGTTGCTTGGTGTTTCTTATTTTACCAAGGGACTTTTTTTTCATTTCAATGACAATTGATTATAGAATTTTCATCTTAGAGCAATTGTTTCCAATTGATATATATATTACCCTCGTGTTCACAGATTACAATCTTTGACGCCATGAGCGACGGACCGGAGAACCTCCTGTGTTCCCTCATTGTCTCTACGCTGGACATTCCTGAGGTATGACTGTTCAAGTTCCGGTCTTTGACTTCGACTCCTGTGTTCGATGCTCAAGCAGTTGATCACTGTATTGTCTGATCCAGGCTTGATTATTATCATACAGCTGAAATATTGCTGGACCCGAGAAGATCCGGGTTAGAACTGATCTCAAGTAACCCAGGCTTGTCGTAAAAGGCGAATAACGGGATCGGGTGGTCAGGCTCGCTGACTGGGTTGACACATGTCATCGTATCCCAGTTGCGAAGATCGATGCTCATGCTGTTGATCAATTTAATGTCTGGTCCAGACTCGGTTATTTACAGACCGCCGCCATAGGCTTGAATATTGTTGAGTGCGGTGTAAAACTTAACTCACTCACTCACTCACTGGAATATTGTAGCGTTAAACAACACCCAAACCAATCGAATCCTGGATTCATCCAAAACGACCCTTGGTCTGTCAGCTCTGAAGGTGTTTGTCCTGGCCTCCACGTAGTTGCCAAAGCCAACGATACACATGCCGTTCAGGGGATTTCGTTAGGTGTCGAAACTGAAATATTTCTTCACAGCGACTTTACGCCAGTTATTCGTGGTACAAATACAGCATCTGGTCAGGAGCTGACAGAGATTTTCAGGGTTTGACAACTACATGTACTTCATTGCAAAAGACGCGACGTGTCAGAGTAGATGCCGACACTGTTATGAAGTTACCTATAAAATGTTCCTCTTCATCACAGCAGCTTCTAAGTTCAACCTAAAGACGGAACAAGATGGACCAAGACATGTTTCGTATTAAATCTGTATCTATTTGATTGGTTTTCCAAGACTGATGTTATATGCATACGTGATGTACGTGTTATACCCACTTCCTCGCTTTAGGGATTTAAAACGTAAAAGGCACTATACCCATACGTCTCTAAAAGACCAAAAGACGATAAAATATGGTACTTGTTGGTCTCTGCCTGGCGCTCGGCATTAATGGGTACTGACTGACTGACTGACTGAATTTTGGTTTTGCGCCGCTTTTAGCAATATTCCAGCAACATCACGGCGGGGGACACCAGAAATGCATTAATGGGTACAACAAGGACTAGTCGACACGGAGTCAGTATACTGTGTCTGAGTGGGGTATTCATGCTTCACTGCGGCATTTTATCTCAAACCAGCTTAAGTCTGGGCTAGTACAAGCAGCCGCACATACACATACACATACACACACACGCATGCACGTGGTCACATGAGCGAAATATTCTCAAGTACGACATCACCTCTCTAAACAACATAATGCATTTCTCTCAATAATACTATCAGCCATTAGGGTAACTACCATATTATTTAGTTTAAAAACTACGTATTTAGATTACAATATTAAATTAAAAAGTTCGAATGAATAAATGCTTTAAGAAGTTCGAATTAACAAATGCAAGTCTTTTATTGCATCAATAGGAAGCTGAAGTGGGTGCATAATGCACTTTATAGCCCCAATATGTATAATATAGGAGAAAATATTGTCTAAATGTGTGACATTGTGCCTTTCAAGAAATAGCTTTATGTTGACATCGTGCTTCTTACTCATGAACGACAGAGGTATCCAAGTTGGGGTTAAAAGTTTTAATAGACCTTCTTCGCACATCGGCGGTTACATTTGAACTGAGCATGGGAACACATGTACAGGTACTTCCGGAAGATAAAAGGGAGTTAATTGTTTTTGTATTTTACATACCGCTAAAAACAAATGAGCAAAGTGACTGATGCGTACGTACAATATCCACATAACGCTATAACTACAGTTTACTCCAACACTAAAACAGCGCCTTTCACTTATCAACCACGCTATCAGGTGCTGCTCTGTTTCAACAAGAAAGCATTCCGTGGTAACCGAGTCGTCAAGATAGACTGCGAGGACCTTGACGCCTACACCTCGCCCAACATACCCCCTTGGTGACACTTGGTGACACTGGACTCTAGGGTGACACGTAAGATTCAGTATTCATATTTTCGTGCAAATTATAGTTTCTGATTCACTGAACATTAAACTGTTCTGGTTATACCTGTCTGAGTGTGAAGAAACTAATTCGGTTCCTTAAACCTTCTGGGCGGTGTGGTAGCGAGTTTGTTAAAGCGTTCGCTTGTCATGCCGAAGACCCGGGTTTTATTCCCCACACAGGAACAATGTGTGAAGTCCATTTCTGGAGTCCCCCGCCGTGATGTTGCTGGAATATTTCTAAAAAGCGGGGTAAAACCCAACTCACTCACTCTGAAAACATTCAGTATAACTAGTTTATGTGTTCGTGTTCCTCCGTAAGGAGTCAATAATTATATTGGGCCGAATGCGTGAGTAGGGGTATGGTTTTACGCCGCTTTTGCCAATATTCCAGCAGCATCACGGCTGGGGACACCACAAATGGGCTTCTCACCTTGTACCCATGATGGGAATCGAACCCGGGTCTTCGGCGTGACGAGTGACGTTCTAGGCTACCCCACCACCCCTTGGCCGAATGCGAACTGGAAGTGAACTGTATGCGTTTGAGTCAAGCAATAACATGAGTCGGTTCAAAATGAAGGCAGATTAGCCATATTTCTGGATTCATCGCATACTTTGCCATTTGTGGAATGTGTAACCCTTTCTTGGTGTCATTCCCCACCCCATCGATACAATCCCTACCCCCTCCAAACCACCACCACCATTATCTCGCACTCTCATGGTAAATCGCATTAACGGCTAATTTGTAGAGTCTTGTGTTTTGACTCACTTCCAAAATGAAGCTGTTTATGGCCAATAGGCCCAATTCGTACTATTGCAAAAATGAAAATATAATAGGCATTGATAAACGAGGATGCTTGTTGATTGGTCTGAGATATTATTAGAATAGGTATACAAGACAAACACACACTCTGAATCCTTGCATATAAGACAATGGCCAGCAAAAACAAATTAGAACTGAAAAGGTAAATAATCTTGTCTAATGATGTCTAATTACAAATTTGACGTCTTAACGGACAAACTCTTCATCTCTTGTTTGGTCACGCGAAGCGATACGATGTCGTTTCCTTGACCCCTGAAAAAATGTTTCACGAAAATGTAATCCATATATATCCGACCCCCTTCTACTGACTGCTTTTTGGTCCTCAAAATTCGGCTTATCTTCGGTAATATACGGAAACTCACATAAACATGTTCCTCTTCATCACAGCAGCTTCTAAGTTCAACCTAAAGACGGAACAAGATGGACCAAGACATGTTTCGTATTAAGTCTGTATCTATTTGATTGGTTTTCCAAGACTGATGTTATATGCATACGTGATGTACGTGTTATACCCACTTCCTCGCTTTAGGGATTTAAAACGTAAAAGGCACTATACCCATACGTCTCTAAAAGACCAAAAGACGATAAAATATGGTACTTGTTGGTCTCTGCCTGGCGCTCGGCATTAATGGGTACTGACTGACTGACTGAATTTTGGTTTTGCGCCGCTTTTAGCAATATTCCAGCAACATCACGGCGGGGGACACCAGAAATGCATTAATGGGTACAACAAGGTCTGGTCGACTTGGAGTCAGTATACTGTGTCTGAGTGGGGTATTGATGCTTCACTGCGGCATGGTATCTCAAACCAGCTTAAGTCTGGGCTAGTACAAGCAGCCGCACATACACATACACACACACACGCATGCACGTGGTCACATGAGCGAAATATTCTCAAGTACGACATCACCTCTCTAAACAACATAATGCATTTCTCTCAATAATACTATCAGCCATTTGGGTAACTACCATAGTATTTAGTTTAAAAACTACGTATTTAGATTACAACATTAAATTAAAAAGTTCGAATGAATAAATGCTTTAAGAAGTTCGAATTAATAAATGCAAGTCTTTTATTGCATCAATAGGAAGCTGAAGTGGGTGCGTAATGCACTGTATAGCCCCAATATGTATAATATAGGAGAAAATATTGTCAAAATGTGTGACATTGTGCCTTTCAAGAAATAGCTTTATGATGACATCGTGCTTCTTACTCATGAACGACAGAGGTATCCAAGTTGGGGTTAAAAGTTTTAATAGACCTTCTTCGCACATCGGCGGTTACATTTGAACTGAGCATGGGAACACATGTACAGGTACTTCCGGAAGATAAAAGGGAGTTAATTGTTTTTGTATTTTACATACCGCTAAAATCAAATGAGCAAAGTGATTGATGCGTACGTACAATATCCACATAACACTATAACTACAGTTTACTCCAACACTTTTAAAACAGCGCCTTTCACTTATCAACCACGCTATCAGGTGCTGCTCTGTTTCAACAAGAAAGCATTCCGTGGTAACCGAGTCGTCAAGACAGACTGCGTGGGCCTTGACGCCTACACCTCGTCCAACATGCCCCTCTTGGTGACACTGGACACTAGGGTGACACTGGACACTAGGGTGACACGTAAGATTCAGAATTCATATTTTCGTGCAAATTATAGTTTCTGATTCACTGAACATTAAACTGTTCTGGTTATACCTGTCTGAGTGTGAAGAAACTAATTCGGTTCCTTAAACCTTCTGGGCGGTGTGGTAGCCAGTTTGTTAAAGCGTTCGCTTGTCATGCAGAAGACCCGGGTTTTATTCCCCACATAGGAACAATGTGTGAAGTCCATTTCTGGAGTCCCCCGCCGTGATGTTGCTTGAATATTTCTAAAAAGCGGGGTAAAACCCAACTCACTCACTCTGAAAACATTCAGTATAACTAGTTTATGTGTTCGTGTTCCTCCGTAAGGAGTCAATAATTATATTGGGCCGAATGCTTGAGTAGGGGTATGGTTTTACGCCGCTTTTACCAATATTCCAGCAGCATCACGGCTGGGGACACCACAAATGGGCTTCACACCTTGTACCCATGATGGGAAACGAACCCGGGTCTTCGGCGTGACGAGTGACGCACTAGGCTACCCCATCACCCCTTGGCCGAATGCGAACTGGAAGTGAACTGTATGCGTTTGAGTCATGCAATAACATGAGTCGGTTCAAAATGAAGGCAGATTAGCCATATTTCTTGATTCATCGCATACATTGCCATTTGTGGAATGTGTAACCCTTTCTTGGTGTCATTCCCCACCCCATCCATACAATCCCTACCCCCTCCAAACCACCACGGCAATTATCTCGCACTCTCATGGTAAATCGCATTAACGGCTAATTTGTAGCGTCTTGTGTTTTGACTCACTTCCAAAATGAAGCTATTTATGGCCAATAGGCCCAATTCGTACTATTGCAAAAATGAAAATATAATAGGCATTGATAAACGAGGATGCTTGTTGATTGGTCTGAGATATTATTAGAATAGGTATACAAGACAAATACACACTCTGAATCCTTGCATATAAGACAATGGCCAGCAAAAACAAATTAGAACTGAAAAGGTAAATAATCTTGTCTAATGATGTCTAATTACAAATTTGACGTCGTAACGGACAAACTCTTCATCTCTTGTTTGGTCACGCGAAGCGATACGATGTTGTTTCCTTGACCCCTGAAAAATGTTTCACGAAAATGTAATCCATATATAACCGCCCCCTTCTACAGACTGCTTTTTGGTCCTCAAAATTCGGCTTATCTTCGGTAATATACGGAAACTCACATTACATGGCATTGTCTACGGTAACAGACATAAGTTAACTAATCCGGACTGCATTATAATCCGGACAAATAAGTCGGTCCCAGGCCAGTCCGTAAAGACAGATTCCACTGTATATAATTCTTGTACACACCCAAGTCAGTCCTTCCCTCATGCGACAACCCATCCTTTCGCTCGCTCACTCACTCACTCACTCACTCAATCGCTCACTCACTCACTCACTCACTCACTCCTCACTCATTCCAGAGACGGAAAGCTTGGAAAAGCAAATAGGAACGCTGCAGGTTCAGGAAATGTATCCCGAGGGTAATGAAGTGGGTCTCTTGGTCATCTACCCAGGAATAACAACGGAACAGGCACGTATGGAATAAACATTCTTAAATCAAAATAATGTTGTGCACTTGTGTCGTTTCACAAAATGACAGAAGAAAAACAATTACTGTCAGTCCTGTACCTACCATCACATCTGAAATGGACTTTCGGAAACTTTAGAAAAAATCGCTGTCTACAGACACTGGGAGAGATTCCCGGGTTCGCTGCCCGAACCACAACCCATCTGGTACGCTAAATATATGTTTAATGTAGACGCGTCAAGTACTGGGTGTCGGGACAATCTCCAAAAGGTTCACAGGTTCGACAAGGAGGCAAGGTTCGACAAGGTTATAAACATATTCAACCACATAATTATCGTGTTGAGATCTCTTCTTTTTTTATTGCGAAACAGCATATACTGGCCACGCTTTTACAATGACTGACTGAGTTTGGTTTTATGCCGCTTTTAGCAATATTCCAGCAACATCACAACAATGACCCGTACATATCCACGTGACTAGGCATTGAGATCTTGGTTTAGAATACATACATGTGTACCTGCAAGAACCCATGTGTGGTACATTCAGTGTAGTTGAGTTGGGACTGCTTCTAAATTAAATTATGTTTGTTAATAAGCCATGCAAAAACCTGTCACCACTTTAATTTCTTTCAGACAGTTTTGTTCAAAGATACGTATCCGATATTTATCGATGATGGATCGATATTTAGTTAACGATTATCGATGTGCATGATCTATCTAGATAACGAGCCTTTACGATATCACTATACATAAAGCATAACAGAAATTCATGATTCAGCGTGATTTTACGCCGCTTTTATTCTACACCACCGAACAGTGCGGGCACGACATTCAACTATTTCGTGAAAATATATTCTGATTTTTCTTTCATTGGTGCTTTGATGTTGCAGGTGAAAAACACCATAAAGGACTTACAAGCGGTGGTTCTGCTGACATTTGGGTCCGGCAATATTGATGGCAAGATAGTTCAGGCAATGGTTGATGAACAGAACAATAGGAAACGCCTCTACATCAACGTGACCCAGTGTCTAAAGGGATCAGTGACTTCATCCTACCAGGCGTCGAACGTAATTATTCTCATTCAATTTGTTGGTTTCTTGTTTAACGCCACACTCAGCAATATTCCAGCTATATGGCGGCGGTCTGTCAATAATCGAGTCTGGACCAGACAATCCAGTGATCAACAGAATGAGCATAGATCTGCGTAATGGGGATGCGATGTCATGTGACAACCAAGTCAGCGAGCCTGACCACCCGATCCCGTTAGTCGCCTCTTACGACAAGCATGGGTTACTGAAGGCCAATTCTAACCCGGATCTTCACGCATCTATTCTCATTCAGAGTGACGGAGTATTGCTTTACAATCGTCATACCCACTTGGGAACAACCTTTGTTATTTTCATGCATAATATAATGTATAGCTCTCATGGGGTCAGATAATTTTATACATCTGTACATAAACTGTATATAATCAGTTTGGTTTTTGCATGGTACCTGGACAGATATTGTGGTTTTTACATGGTACCTGGACAGATATTTTAGTTTTTGCATGGTACCTGGACAGATATTTTGGTTTTTGCATGGTACCTGGACAGATATTTTAGTTTTTGCATGGTACCTGGACAGATATTTTGGTTTTTGCATGGTACCTGGACAGATATTTTAGTTTTTGCATGGTACCTGGACAGATATTTTAGTTTTTGCATGGTACCTGGACAGATATTTTAGTTTTTGCATGGTACCTGGACAGAAATTTTGGTTTTTGCATGGTACCTGGACAGATATTTTGGTTTTTGCATGGTACCTGGACAGATATTTTAGTTTTTGCATGGTACCTGGGCAGAAATTTTGGTTTTTGCATGGTACCTGGACAGGTATTTTGGTTACATTTCTATTTATAAATTTCGTATTAATTCGTTTTTACTGGCATCTCTCCTTCTTTAAATAAGTTTTAGGGTTTTCAGAAATGTAGGGTTGTGTTGTTTTCGCAGCGTTTTAATAATTGAAATGTTTAATGAAATCAACCATCACGCACAATGTGCACATCGAATGTGAAACGTGGTGTCATTAAACACAACTTACAAGCCTTCCATAAATACAATCACCGAATTTTAATTCATGCAATCAGTGATAAAATTCTGTTCATTAGCAGATTACCAAACATACATAAGAGCTATTTGCATCAACAGTACAACCGCCAGTCAAAACTGTACGATCAACAGAGTTATCTCCCTTAGATGCGAACACCCATACGGAGTTGATCAATAGTTAGCAGTCTGGTATATCCACAACACTGTACTATTAATAGTTTTTTACCGGAACAGAAATGTATTCATATATATTTTCCTGCATTCATAACAAAAATGCTGAGTTAGGTCACTTTAATTTTTTTTTTTCGCTTAAACGAACGCGAAAAAACAAAGAAGAGCAAACAATGAATACCTTTCCTTTCTACAAACAAGTGCTTTCATTTTATGGATTACATATTTTTTCCACATTAAACAAGAAATTTAAAAATATTTTGGCGTAACAAGTCGCGTCGGGGGATCTTTGACCACCATACTCATAATGATAGATTCAGCGGTTCTTGAGTCAATCAGAAACAGTAAAGTCCATGACAATAAGAAGGGCGGGACCGTTGTTATTTACTTTCGGAAGTGGTCAGAAGTGGACTCTTTTTACAATATTCAAGCAATATCATGCCTGGGAACACCAGAAATGGGCTGCACACATTGTACCCATGTGGGGAATCGAGTCAATCAGAAACAGTAAAGTCCATGACAATAAGAAGGGCGGGACCTTTATTATTTACATTCGGAAGTGGTTGTGACATTTCGATATTCCAAAACAATATATAAGGCGGAGCCTTTATCACTTACATTCGGAAGTGGTCGTGTACCTTCGATATACCGAAATCTGAAACCGTTCCACCAAATCGAACAGAAAATTTAAAATCCTTGACGCTGATCGTCTGATTTGTGTGCTCACCTGACGCGACTTACCATTAAATTGTCTTCGGATTGTATCAAAGTAAGGATTAGATTGTAATGAGACTGCATAGACTAATTCTTTGTCACTGACACTCAGGCCCTGAAAGAACTCGGAGCGGTCAATTGCAGTGATATTACCACAGAGGCCGCCTTCACAAAACTCAGCTACGTGCTGGCAAAGGAACAAGACTTCGAAGAGCGGAAGAAGGTGAGTCTGGAGTGAGTGAGTGAGTAAATGTTTATTTTATCCTCGCTTTTAACAATATTCAAGCAATATTATGGCGGGGAACACCAGAAATGGGCTGCACACATTGTACCCATGTGGGAAATGGAACCCGGGTCTTCGGCGTGACGAGCGAACGCTTTAATCACTTGGCTACCCCACCGAACCAGAAAGAAGTGAGAGCGTTGTCATCTCACCATCTCTCTCGCGTTAAAACAACGCAAAAAGTTAACATTCCCACTTGTTTCCCATTCGACAAATCCAATTCGCTGGGGTCTGTTCAATTCAGATCAGTTCTGACAAAAATATATTTATCCTGACACTGTGACCGAAAATACAATGTCATTCTGTTTCCATCAAAACTATCTACCCCATCTCAACCCGTTTAAATAATCGATCCCTGAAGATCCTTACGCAGCATCATGCTGGTCATGCCAAGTTACACTTGAACCAACCCTTTGTTGATAATGTGATAAGAATGAGTGAGTGAGTGTAACCTGTGTCACATGCATCACATGTGTCACATGCTTCGCCTGTGTCGCCTGTCTTACCTGTGTCACTTGTTATCTGTGTCGCCTGTGTCACCTGTCTTACCTGTGTCACTTGTTATCTGTGTCGCCTGTGTCGCCTGTCTTACCTGTGTCACTTGTTATCTGTGTCGCCTGTGTCACCTGTCTTACCTGTGTCACTTGTTATCTGTGTCGCCTGTGTCACCTGTCTTACCTGTGTCACTTGTTATCTGTGTCGCCTGTGTCACCTGTCTTACCTGTGTCACTTGTTATCTGTGTCGCCTGTGTCACATGCATCACCTGTGTGTCACATGTGTCACCTGTGTCGCCTGTACACATGTCACATGTACACTTAGCCGATAATTGTCCGTTCCTTGAATATGTGTTGCCTTGTTACAGATGATGCGGACAAGCCGCCGTGGAGAAATGTCCGATGAAGACAGCGAGAGAGAAAACAGAAATAGTGAGAATAATCAGGGCTTAAGCCAAAATTAAATACTTTTGTTTAACGCCGAAATACTCCAGCGGTTTGTAAATAATTCAGTCTGGATCAGACAATCCAATGATCAACAGCATGAACATCGGTCTGCGCAATACAGTGTTATGTGTCAAACAGGTCAGCAGCGATGCTGTTCTTCCCGAAGAACCTATCGACCATTCTTAATGAGGCCTCATGAATATTCATATCTGTACCAAAACGAGGCTAAATTGGGCAAGGACACAATCGCATAATGGCACCAAATCTCAATGTATACTTCCTGGTTTCAAATTTCCCTTTAACGGTACATTACGAAACTGTCCAGTAGTTCAGGGAAATCGCAGAGAAATGGGAAAGGGCTACACAAATGTTTCTGTAGCATATCCACGGATTGAAGGGTGAATAATTACTGTACATCACCACACATCACGATAAGTCATATGACCTAGATATCTAGGTTAACGTTTACCATGTTGCGCAGCATTTATGAAGGGAAGCTACTCTAAAGTCACAATAGTGGAAATATTACCAAGGGAAGTCAATTACGTTTACTTTATCAACATATGAACAAAGCAATTGCAAAAGACTAACGTATTTCCTGACCTGGATTCAAATCATCCGCTTCCACATGGGAGTAGTGTTGTTAATTCTTGACCTGGATAATCGAGATTAGAGTAATATGTAGATCAAGATAGCTCTTCGAGTGGATCTGGACCAAACATTTTTTTCTGTTTAAAATGTTTTGTCCTACCGACTCTGTTTTATAGATATAGGGTATTTATTCACGTATTTATTTTCAGTTGTACCTACTAGTGATGGCGATGTGCGCGTAACTGTATGTTACAATCGCAGAGGAACAACGATTCGCAACATCATCATGTAGAAACTATTTATTTCAATCAGCATGAGTGGGACACAACGTGCAAGACAAAACTGGATGATTTTTTTTTCAAGTTCTTTTTTGACTGATTTGGAGGTGAATAATTATTTTACCTAAATGGACTTATGGTACCTGCATGGGGAATATTTGAACCAATTTTCATTACTGTGTTACTATACCATAAAATTGATTTATTGTAGATCAGGACCCCGTTCCTCAAAGCGATCGTAGCGCTACGACAGTCGTAAGTCTGTGTTAAGTATGGGAGTTACGATCACCTTAGCGCTACGATTTGAAATGGTGTCTTAAAAGTCCAATAACAATAGACACATTCACAATAGCTTCCAACTGTAACACTGATGAATAACAATAAACTTTTCAGAGGATGCAAATTGAAAATATATTGGGTGCAATATTTTTGTTGATAGAAATATCTTTTTAGATTAGTCTGACATGAATGGCAACAATTACAGCTGGAGATCAATTCATAATTTACCATAGTCTTCTCCCCTTACACATTATCATAATCTCTTACCTGTTTTTTCTGGTTCCCAACAAACTCTTTCAAACAGGATGAAATACATTCTTTTTCATCAATTACTAATAAAACAGCAGCAAATGAGTTACATCTACAACTATGCCATTATGAAATACCTTTCTATTATTCAGTTAAATCTATCAATGTGTATGTATTACAGCTGTCTCTTTTTTCATCCATCATTTACACAACACAAAAGCATGAAACAATTTCATTTACATTCATGTCTGTCAATTCTTGTGCTGTTTGGGAAAGGTACTTCACAAAACCTGGGAAGATATTCAACAAATGAAAATGTTCCAGCTAATCAGTGCCAATGTTTGAAATGATGGAATACTGTAAAATGTTCAATCAATTTGTATCATATGGAACAAGTTTTTATGGATAACAACTTCTATATTTCGTGAGTGCGACGTTTCGATACAGATTCTTGTACCGTTGTCAAGCAAGAGTGATACATGAAGTGGAGGAGCTGCATATATATACTGTATATAACAATGAAACAACATACATTGTAATTGACAAAGGAAACAACATAATTGCCATATTTGGTTAAGCAGTAAGCTGATGAAGCCAGTGAGTACACAAAAGATAGTGAATGGAAGCCAGAGATGTATCGAAACGTCGCACTCACGAAATAAAGAAGTTGTTATCCATAAAAACTTGTTCCATATTGTACGTCTCAACTTTTAAAAATGCCACTCAAACAAATTTGTATCATCATACATGAATTTACAAACTCCAAACTTTTCAAGTTCAAGTTTTCTGTTCTATTTTTCTATTTTGTCAACCTTTTCCTTGAGTTGTCTCTCCTGTTTATGTAATTTCTGATGGAGTTGTTCTATGTAGGACTGGGGTCATAGTGGCTGCTGTATCACTCTCTGCTTCACTGTAATATAAGCATTGTAAAGCATCACTATTATCTCTTCGACCACACAAACAATAAATATATCTCTGGAATTACAAATATACATCAAGGAGTAGAGGCTAACACCATTTCATATTTTAGACAGTATGGGCAATCAATATTTTTATATGTAAATAAGATAGCATGATAAAGTTCAGTTGTATTAAATTCTTAAAACCATGTCAGTTGGCAAAATTAACTTAATACGATCTGACATTCTTACTGTATCTGAGATGGTGACTGAGGTAGATTCCTTATGGGAGGTTCCCGAGCTGGTGACATGCTCTCTGACTCTTAATTAGCAGCATCTGAAATGCATATTTAAACACTATATATATTTCAGTTGTTGTAATTAGATTGTCCTGTAATATTTCCTTTATCCCTGAAGTACTGGTCAGTATGCAGTAATTTTGAAAGTACATATTTAAGGTTTTTTTAACAGCATGTGTATGTCCTGCATATACATGTACTTGAAATGTTACTTTGATTTGCAGCCAAACTAATTTCACTGATACAGAATATTTGCAAATAAAATTCCCTTGCCATCATGACAAGAGTGTCTCCATATGTCCATATGCTTTAAGAAAAATAATATAATGGACCGTTCATAATTTATGACTAGGGGGGTGATGATGATTTTAGGTACGGTGTTTGTGGGGGTTGGGGTGTCTCCCAGTTTGTTTTGGGAGGCAGGGGGAGGGGTCAATTGTGTACATATGAACTACGGGGGTGGTCACTGATTTTGAACATGACAATATGTGTGTGTGTGTGTGTGTGTGTGTGTGTGTGTGTGTGTGTGTGTGTGTCATTCTTGGGAATATGGTGAAAAGATACCGTAAAATCCTGTCGGGCATCACTCCAACGCAAAGGCACACAGAAGTAATCTTTCCTTTTCGAGGTCGCCATTTTCAAGGTTGGGTCAACCTATTTAAGCCTCGCTTTCGATTTGACCTCTTATATACATTTTGTACTGCTTTGTTTTGACAGCTCTTCTTGTTTAAACAGTTTATGACTTTCAGAAGGGCAGGGTTGTGTTATTTTGTCAAAGGGACGGCGGGGTTGTACAACCCCAATATGTAAAATCAAGACAATATGTAAAAACTAACGCAATATGTAAAAACTTACCGCAAAACGTAAAAAATAACGCAATATGTAAAATATGAACGCAATATGTAAAAGATGTCTTTAACGCAAAAAGTAAAACACCTAACGCAAAATGTAAAAACAATTTTTAACTTAATATGTAAAAAATTAACGCAATATGTAAAATCCAGTTTTAGGTTTGAATATCGGGCAGCAATCGAAATCTACTTTTTCACAATTTTGCAAAAATTGACTTTATTCACAAAAAACTAAGATATCGCAATGTTTCTTACAAACTAAACTTTATATTACCTTTTATTAAAATAACTTTTCCTCGTTCAGTAATTATTACTGGTATACATGAAAGTGTAGTTGATAAACATATAATTTACTTGTATATAGAGCTATTTTAATCGATCTAGTCTAGAAAGTTTCAAAGAAATAATTTTATTCTTTAAACTTCAAACATAAATGGTATTGGGGGTATATTCATTTCATCCTATCGGGTTTGACTCCATCAAACTGTCCATTCAGTTGTTGATAATCTGTGATATCCGAATTTCTTTATTTTTAAGAAAACCACTTGTCGATTCTTCCTAATTGGTTTGAAATAACATGCATGTTGTATTAATATTTCCATTACTGACTGTTGACATAAATCAAAACATATTTAAAATTGTTCAAACATATATTTGTCAATGAAAACGATTTCTTAATTATTGCAATTGTTCCACTCTTTCCCATCTTTCTGTTCTTCTCTGTCCATCTTGTAGAATGAATGTAAATAATATTATGTAAATACTCTGGAGAGGGTGTACTAAGTTGTATAACTTGTACTAATCCTTTTCTCATGAATAAAATATGTTTAAAACAATGTTTCCAATTCTAACTCATTGTTTATGGGGGGTTCGAATTAATTGCAATTGGTACTTGGCATCGAGATGGATGCTCTGGCCATTGGACTTCGGACCTAGCAACTGATCTAGGAGAGAGCGCCAGTAGTTATGATTTGAATATGTATATGACACAACGATGGACTGATGTAGGGGATACTGGAATGATCCCTAAATGCATGCATCCTTACCCGCCATAGCTTCAACTGCGGGTGGGAAAAAACTTCAAGTAAACCAACTGAGAATATGAAAGAAGATATTCAAATGTGTACTTTATTAATTGACGTTTTAATGATATAAAGGCATGAATAAGAACATCTGTTTACAAAATACTGAAAAAGAGAATAAAATAATATGGCTGTTCTGTTCAATGTCAAATGATATGAAATAATGTAACTTCAATTAAAACGGCATCTTTGGACATTTAAACACACACACACGCGCATGCATGCATGCACGCACGCACGCACGCGCACATACACACAAACAAACGATTAAAAGTCGACCAAACTTTGGATTTTATGAATAAGAACATATGTTTATAAAATACTAAAAAAGAAAATAAACTAATAAAAGAATATGGCCGTCCTGTTCCTTGTCAAATGAAATAAAATCCAGTAAGTAACTCGCTCTCTCTTTATCCTATAGTCTCTCTCTCTTTATCCTATAGTCTCTCTCTCTCTTTATCCTATAGTCTACCACCCATTCCCATTCCTGTGTCCCCATAAGAACATGTCTGCTTCTGCCACTGTCCTTCCTT